GAGAAGGCGCTATATAATTCTCTTTGCACAAGTTTCAACGCGTGCAAGGGTAACCTATGGTGTGAGAAGTTGGTGGAAGGGTGTTGTGGAGGGGCTATAGGATTCTGCCGGTATTCTGCTCCTCGATCTTGGGGCTGGTGACAAGTGTGTTTGCCCTGTGAAAGCCCAAGGAGTTGTGCACTTCCCTGTATCTATCCTATACTTCAATTGAAATGTACCAAAAAACAAAAAATGAAATAAAGTAAGAAAATACAAGAGCAGTTGACCTAGCAATTTCAACTCTAGGAAGTGACCCTTTGGTTACCCTCCCATGCAGACAAACGATGCGTGGACACCATGTCCTGGCAAACCAGAAACAGCATGAGCCCCTTGGTGACATAAGCAAGCGTGGTTAAATAAATAAGGGCCCATCTGTGCATCCATGTAAAGAAATAATGTTTAACCGTTGCAGAGCCCGAGGCTGACTTTTGTGTACTGATACATAACAGCCACCGAGCTGTTACATATAGTCAGCGAGCAAGGCTCAGAAGGTGCACAGAACACTATCCTGTGTCACAGTATGTGACATAGACTCCCTCTGGAAGGACACATGAGCAAGTGGTGGCGGCCTAGCTGGGGGCATCTGCGTTATATAGGAGTTATGTGTCCGTGTCCGTGTCCAGTCTGCCTGCCAGTCCTTGCTCTGACTGCAAGTCTGTGGCTCCTGGGGCTGGTGACAGCCTCAGCAATGTCTCTGAGTAACTGTCTTTAGTTTAGAAACCCAGCAATATCCCTCCAATTATAGGCAGAACCAGAGCCAGGATTTGGCAGCAACCACAGCCTGGGGTGTGTGTGTGTATAGGAAGGCTTCATGGAAAAGTGGTATCTGGGTAGACATGGGGGAGGGAGGAGGACAGACCAGCATGAGTGAAAAACTGTCTGTCTGTCTGCCTGCCTGGAACATGGGCTAGATGTGAAAACAGGGCCTTATGCCTGCAGAGCCCTGAGACAGCCTGCTCCCAAGTTTCCAGGTATTGTTACTGTGCAGGGAGCAGAAACAGAAACCAAAGCGAGAGAAGCTCGGGCACCAGACTCCTGGGGAGCTGCTACTGCCTCCTGTTCTATAGGAGTGAGACTCGGCCAGCCTCGACTTGGCCACACTGGCAGAACTGGGATTAGGATCGAGACATGGCCAGCCTCAACTTGGCCACACTGGCAGAACTGGGATTTGGATCGAGGTCCGACTTCAAAGCCCTGTGCTCTGCTGAGTGGCCCTGCTGTCTGGGAGTCAGGGAAGGCTTCCTGGAGGAGTCGCACTGTGGTCTTACAGAGTCAACTTGGAGAAGGGTTGGGGTGTTCTGCACAGAAGGAATGAGCACCATGTGCCAAGGGTTCTGTATTTGGAAAACAGGTTGGAAATGATGCAGGAGGCACTGCCTGGGATTTTGTGGCCCAGTCATGGATTCCTGCCCAAGCAGCAAGGTTCAGTCCCTGGTCCCAGAGCTGTCTGAGTTCCAATCGAGGGCTTGAATGTGGGTTTGATACCATCTCTACTTCCGGAAGACCATTCTGGCAAGTGAGATGAGGGGCACACTGCACGTGGTGAGGCTGGAAGTAGGGAGACCTGTTGGGAGACAATGGTGATAATTCAGGCGAGAGCCCGGATGAAGGAGGCATGAGTGGGTGACAGAGAAGTTAATAGTTTGAAGGATACTCAGGAAAAAGAAGGGCATGAAATAACTGGCAGAAGGAAGCAGGTGCAGAAAAGGGAGGAGTCAAAGATGACCCTTGGATTCTGGGGTAGCTGGAGGTGAGAAATCCAGATTCGGGTCGAGTTTAGATTCACGGACACTGAATTAGAGGTGTCTGCAGGATAGCGAAGTGGGGGCCCCGTCGGCGCTCACCCTTACGCACTCATTTGGCCAGTAGCTACTGTGAGCTGGGCCCTGCGGGTTTCCCGCATGAAACACGTGCCCTGACCTTGGGAGGGTTCCCTGCGGCGGAGCCAATGAACAAACAACTGAAGACGCCGCAGCTGCGGGTCATCGGAGGGCGGTGGAGGCCCGAGCGGGAGATGGAAGGACGCTGGGGGCCAGTCTGCTCGGCCCTGGTGCCCAGGCAGCGCAGCCGTGGGAACCAGCTGTGGGCAGAGCCCGGGCCCCACCTGCTGCCTTCTCA